AAAATCAAAGACATGCCTGCTGGAAGGTACTGAGGGATGCCAGGATAGAGCCTCCAATCCACACACTGTATTTCCTCTCTGGCGGGGCCACCACCTTGATCTTCATGCTGCTGGGGGCCAGGGCAGTTATCTCCTTGCTCATCCGGTCAGCAATACCTGGGAACATAGTCGACCCACCACTGAGCACAATGTTGCCATACAGATCCTTCCTGATGTCCACGTCACACTTCATGATGGAATTGTAGGTGGTTTCATGAATGCCAGCAGCTTCCATCCCGATTATGGAGGGCTGGAAGAGGACCTCCGGGCAGCGGAACCTCTCGTTGCCGATGGTGATGACCTGGCCATCTGGGAGCTCGAAGTTCTTCTCGACGGATGAACTGGTCTTGGAGAGCTCCATCTCCTGCTCAAAGTCGAGGGCGATGTAGGCAAGCTTCTCCTTCATGTCGCGAACGATTTCCTTCTCGGCCGAGGTCGTGAAGGAGTAGCCGCGCTCGGTGAGGATCTTTGCCAGATGGTCAGTGAGGTCACGGCCCGCAAGGTCAAGACGGAGAATGGCGTGGGGGAGGGAGTAGCCCTCGTAGATGGGGACCGTGTGGCTCACACCGTCACCCGAGTCCATCACAATACCTGCGTGAGACAAAATGATAAACATCACAGTTCCTGTATAAGTTCCTAATGACTAGCAAGTGTACGGTGATTAAATCTTATCATGTGATGTCAAGGAAAATCACGCACGAAGAGCACAGAGTGATGTACGGAAGACAAATATGCTAATTCAGTGCCTATAAATATGTGTTCATAAGAATCTTTGTCAAGTATTTTCATCATAACCCCCATCTTGCTTACGTATGGGGACGAATAACTTCAATAAAATCGTGAATTTGGTACAATATTGATGATAATTTATCAATCATTCAAAGCAACCATATAAAAGGACATATAATTTCATACCACAGGTTCAAGAAGCCTGAACAACACTTTCTTACATTAGCAAATACCATATACGTAGAAGATTCCTGTGACACATTCAGTTCTGTAAATGCAAACAAGAATTGGATCGACTCACCAGTTGTACGACCACTGGCGTACAGGGACAGAACAGCCTGGATAGCGACATACATGGCAGGGGAATTGAAGGTCTCGAACATGATCTGAGTCATCTTCTCTCGATTCGCCTTAGGGTTGAGGGGTGCCTCTGTGAGAAGGATTGGATGCTCCTCAGGGGCCACACGGAGTTCATTGTAGAACGTGTGGTGCCAAATCTTCTCCATGTCATCCCAGTTATTCACAATACCATGCTCGATAGGGTATTTCAAAGACAGAATACCACGCTTGGACTGGGCCTCATCCCCAACATATGCATCCTTCTGGCCCATGCCCACCATCACGCCAGTGTGACGTGGACGGCCGATGATACTAGGGAAGACAGCCCTTGGTGCATCATCTCCAGCAAATCCAGCCTGAGGCATCATGTGTTTAGGCAACAAATACGAATTTCCGAAACAGTAACAGAGAGAACAATAGATAGTGATCGTGATATTAGGAAAAGCTAGGTAACAGCATTTACCTTGACCATTCCTGTACCATTGTCACACACAAGAGGTTGGATATCCTCGGCGTCGGCCATTTATTCGTTTGTTCTGCTGCCAACAAAACACAAGCAGTATCAAGATTTCAATCAAGCAAAAGGAATCAGATTTTCATGTAAACCAGAAAGGTTGTTGAACACTGAACAGCATATCCAGCAGTATGAGAAAAATCCATGTTCGAATCAAAATTAACATGGAAAACCAATCAATCAAAGCAATCATGCCACTACTGGATATTTATAAAGACGAACACATGGATACATGAGCTGAGATCAAATCATCAAAGCACATCACGCACAACACGCATAATGCTAATAAAAACAGAGATCACAGCAAGTTTGTACGATCTCATCCAAGATCCAACACATGAAAAACACACAAAAAAACACCAGAGCAGATTCTTACATAAAAGATCATGTGCATTTGTGTGTGTGTGGCCGATCGATCGAGAATCGCAACAGAATTTCACAGCATCCTCATCAAACGAACAGATAAACACAAATGAGAAATTCACCAATCAGAACTACGAACAACACGCATATGCTATAAAACAAGAGATCACAGCAAGCTAGTGCGATCTCATCCAAGATCCAACACATGCCAAAACACACAATAAAACACCAGCGCAGATTCATACACAAAGGATCATGTGATTTTTTGCGTGTATAGCCAATAGATCGAGAATCGGTACATGATTTCACAGCATTGCCCACCAAACGCACAGATAAACACAAAGGAGAAATTCAACAATCAGAACTACGAATAACACGAATATGCTAATAAACCAAGATACCACACCAAGTTCATACGATCAATCGAGAATCAAACCGGGATTTCACAACATTCCTCATCAAATCCAAAGGAGAAATTCACAAATCAGAAATACGAATTTCACAACATTTTTCATCTCCTTTTACCTTCGTGATCCAATGGAGAACAACGAGATGCTCTGTCCCTCTCTCTCTCACTCTCCTCTTCTTCTTCTTCCCTCGGTTAAAGTGCCTCTCACTTCTCAGGGGGAATGAGCAAATAATGATGGAGCGTAACTGAAGGCGACGAGGATTCACCTTTAAAAGCACCTCATTTCTCGCTCTAGCGCCCGATTGACTCGGGCTTTTCATCGCGCAGATTGTTTTTCGGGCCGTGAATTTTCCATAGCTGCCGCCTTAGCTGTGCGATTGGTATCATTTTAGTCCCCGGTGTTTTGAAAAATTACGGACCTTGTCCCCTCAAAATCAAATGGATTACACCTTTTTTTTTTTTTTTGTTTTGTCATATTGACCCCTGCTTTTGAACATAATTCGAAAGTGAGAATAATTAGAATAATTTTTTGTAAGGGATAATTAGGGAAAATTAGATGTGATTAATGGTTGGCTGATTTGGGTAATTATTTGATGATATCCCCCTATATATTAATTCAGAACGTGTTGACCCTAAGTGGCAGTCTCGCATGCTTCGGGATCCTATGTGGCAAAATTACATGTTTCGTTATTAGGCTTTGGTAGATTTTAATTTACTTTCAATCTAAAAATAATTAGGTTTGGATTATCTATAAATATGTTGATAATTTATGGTCATGTTACATGTATTGATTGCATTTTAATATCATTTCTTATTATAACCATTGAATTGTAAATATATTTTAAAAGTTAATAACTTTTGTATTTTTTATCAGTTTTACATATGTAATATATCAAATTAATCATCTCTTGATGAACTTTGATTTAACATCCATATACAGATGTACTTATTTTTAATATTAATTAAAAAATTAAATTATTTATCAATTAATATATTTATATTTCAAGTAATTATATTTCTAAATATATAATAATATATATTTTTATGTAAAAAAGTAAAAAAAAAATTAAAATAATTTTTTGCATTAATTTTAAGATATAAAAATAATTTTTTAACAAGTACCCGTGTAATACACGGGTATTGTACTAGTGTATGTTCGATACATGAAAATGCACATGATTCTAAGGATCGGTGAGACTATGATTTTTATTTATAATTTTGAGATGATAATTAAAGTACAATGTGAAGGGAATGACATTTTTAACCTAAAGTGGGCAAGTATTTTTCCTCTTTAAGGAGGATGCAATGTGATTATGTGAATAAGGGAATGACATTTTTAACCTAAAGTGGGCAATTATTTTTCCTTTTTAAGAAGGATGTATTCGTTTAGCACATTTTAAGATATATTTTTTGACTTCTTCATATTTAAGACTTTTTAAAATTTTGAGATTTATAAGAAATCCATGAAAATCATAGGGGTTATATTTGCTTGAGACTTTTATAGAGTTTTCAAAAATCCTGATATATTTAAGTTAGACTTTTTAAATTTTTAAAATTCACGAGATATTCATTTAAAATTTTAAAAAATTTTATAAAATCCTGAGGTATTTAACTTATTTGAGATTGAGATTTGTTATGACTTTTTGAGATTTGCTGAAATTTTAAAAGAAAAAACCGTGTATGGAATTCACTCCAAATCTCGTATCCATATTTAGAATTTCATAGAATTCCTCATCAATCTGAAAATTTCTACAAAGTATCAAATCTGAATATGCCACTTATAATCCCAAAAAATACATTCCATAAGTTCTAGAGGTGGGACTTTGGGTGAAAAATAACTCTTAAAAAGACTTACTAAATTTCAGTGTAAAATAAATTAAATAACTCGTGATTTGTTAAGACTTCTTTAAATTTTAAATGACTACCTAAGAATTTGTAAAAGTCTTAAAAAAATCAAATTAAATACATCATGATTTAAAGTCACAACAAATATTTAAGAATTCCAAATGAATACACCAATGAAGATTTATTTAAATATGCTCAAATTTAGGGTTGAGCCATTATCGAGCATAACTGTTTAACGGGTCGATCACTAATTGAGTTATAAAAAATCAATTATTTTTTATTTTTATTTTAAAGGACAATGGTGAAATAGTTAATTTCATGATCCTTTAAATCAATTATCAAGCAAGGACTAAATTAGCTATTGCTAAATTCCAAGTTGCATTGAATATAATAGTCTTGGTCAAACGATGACTGCAATTAAGGGAGTGATTGTTTATACAGTCAACTAAAAAAACCAATCAAAACTCAAATTTAACTCAACTCCACTATCCTCAATATTATCAATATAATTAAATAATATCAATTAATCATTCTTACACATCACATCACCTTTAATTCACTATTCATTCACTCACATAATTTTAACTAACCATCATTTCTAATCAATTTTCTCCTACTTTACGTCAAATCAACACTAATTATTTTATTTAAAATATTATTTTAATATATCCACTAGCAACTAATCATACTAACTTTTTCCAAAATTAACTATAATTAAAAAAATAAATAAAAACTAGTTGAATCCATAAACAATCACCCCTAAATGATTACACCTCAATTTTGACTGTAGTGTGCAAAAGCCAAGCAACCTTTGTTGGATCAAGGCGATCAAATTAAATGTCAAATGATCAACACTTTCCAATATTACATATCATTATCCAAGAAAAGTCAAAATGATAGTCATTTTATTAAACAGATACAATCTAATCATTATGCCGACTTAGTTATTTCACATATTTATATAGCTTCATTGGAAAATAACAAGTTTTAGGAGAACAACATCGTATATAATTATGATATTTAATAATACAAATATACATTTTTATTTACAAGATATGGCGAATCAATCCGTTTAACAATTAAGAAGTCATACACGTCAAATTGCGAGGGCGAATATCAAAGCTGGAGATAAGAGATGTTCAACTATCAATTATACACAATATATATTATTTATTGTATATAAAATAAATTTGATCATTTTTTTAAAATAACCATTAAATTGAAAATATTAAATGGACAAAACACAACATTTAATTTATCGTATTTTTTTACTTACAAATTTTAATTAGCAAACTCTTAAGCATCTAACAGCATTGCAAATTTTTCCAATTAGAATTTAGAACATAACTGGAGCGTTGATAACTGAATTGGCCGAAATGTTTTTTAAGCGAGACGTATCTACCGCGATAAGACCAAACCACCAGGACCGACCAAGTCCAAGAACAGTTGAAAACCGACCTTGCACAACATAAGTGGTGGGCAAAACACAGAAGAAACCAATGTCGAATAACATTGATGGACGACTTGAAGATTCGGCAGTTGACGAGTGAAATCCAATTGCACCAGCATAAACGAAGCCATAAATTAGGACAAGACACGGACAGGACAACTCATCAGTTGTGGAGTTAAGGTGAACCCAAAACGTCAAGTGGCCGACCCATCCAATTAAACGCGATCCAATCATGCAAATGATTATTGAGAAGGCGTTTACTTGCCATTATGTCGGGACACATGTCACTCGAAGAAGTACTCGCTCTGTCCATGCAGACTGACACCTAGTTTAGTTTAAGGACTCACGTGGCATTGTATTTTACTATAAATATTAAATAGTACTCCCTTTCTTTACTGAGGTACCCAAATGAACTGTTATAAGTAAATCATTCACTTCAAGTAAAAATAGAGGAAAAGACCGAACTACTTTGTTAGGCTCAAATAAATTATTCATTTCCTTACTTTTGTGCAATTTAAATTTAAATTACTAATTTTCGTAGCATCAATTTTAGTGGGCAACATAGAGATAAACCCGAATTATAATTTGGAGCAATAGATAAAAGAAACTTTTTATTTTCGGGATAAAAAAGGTTGAACTAATGAATCAGGTTGAACATTAATTCTAATTTCTTCTTTCAGCACAATTAACATAACCTATTTCATTTCTATTTATCTTCAAAGCATGGAGAGAAAAAGAATAACCAATCTAAGACAAAAGCCCTCATAAAAATCCCTTATTAATTAAGGATTAATTTATGATATTTTTTCCCGAATTTTTACTTAATGATATGCATACATATGCTATAACATGATATATTTATGTTTGTATTATTTTTTTAAAAATAGAATATTTAAATTTGAAAGTATGCATATATTGAGTTGTTTAACAAACCAAACAATTAGCAAATATAGCTCGATTTGGCTTGAACTCGAACGACTAATCGAGCTCGTTTAATAAACGAATCGAAATTTTTTCACAAACAACTCGATTTATTTATATTTCATTTTTTTATGGTTTTAAGTGGAATAATTGCACAAAATTTGTTAGTAAACAGACATTTCACATATTTATTAGACGAGTCAAGTTGAACTTTTACAAGTTTAAATAAATTGTGCCCTTTTTTTTTTCAAAGGCAAACAACAATTTTATATTACTCAAAGAAATGTACATATACATCGAGTAATCAGTACATATTCTCCAAGCCACGAGAAAAGAGAACCCTTCCCCTCAAAGACCAACATGGTCTCAAAAACAACTGTCAATAGACAAACAAACACAACAACAACATAAAATATGTCAACTTAAAATACAGAACATGATACTATTTTACATGAATCAAATAACTCTAACACTTCCCCCACTAGCTGCAAGCAGGAGTGATGAATGGCCATAGATTTATTCAGCATTTTTACTGCTGCTGCATTATGAAGAAAGCAAGTAACAGATGTCCACTGAAGCTCAGAAAACTTCCTCAAACACTATCTAGCAGCCAGTAAACTTGCCTCTGCATCTGTAATTGAATCATTTGTGCAAGCTATAGTCTCTGCCCATTGAAGCTTATTTGCTGCAACATTAATAGCAATACATTCCACTGCAATGTCACCTGCATCAGATGAATGAGCACTGATAGCCATCCAAGACCATCCTACTCTCTAATATACTTCATCCAATTTAGGTGCACTTCCTATCTTAAACCCTTGATTATCCCACTCCTTCCATTCTGAATATGTTTTCCTCACAATGTCCATCTCATTAAACCAATCTCCTTTAAACACCCATTTATTTCTGCCCTTCCACAAATTCCACAACAAGTAGACAGATAAGGTAATTCTAGCCTGTAGAGTAGCAGACATACCATGAGAACACAGGCTCATCCACCAACTTTGAAAATCCACTGGCTGTTGCTTCAATATATCCCAGTCTATCCCATTCAATTTCCAACAAGCCTGAGATTTTGGACATTGAAAGAACAAATGATTTAAAGTCTCCCTTCCCTCCCCACAACTTTTACAAATGGGATCAATTTCAAATCCCCTTCTCACCAACTTATCAGCTACCTCAAGAAATCCATACCAACTTTTCCAAATAAAAAATTTAAGTTTTGGTTTAAGTTGTAATTTCCAAGTTGATTTCCACATTTTCTTCCACCATGCAGGATTCCCACTAGTTGAAGGAGTATCCTTGGGATTCCTTTGTACTCTAAGAAGAGTATTGTACACTGCTTTAGTAGAAAATACCCCTTTCTTGCCCCAATGCCAAATTAATTTATCTGGTTGAGGAGTGCTTTTCAAAGGAATTGTGAGAATGAGAGCAGCATCCACAGGATTAAATGTCTGTAAAATAGCCTCCTGATCCCATTCTCTATTTCCAGATTTAATCAACTCACTCACTCTAACTATCCTTTCTTTATCCCCCTAGAAATAACACTTTGGTTTAAAAGAAGAATTATTTGGGATCCAAGGAGAATCCCAAACATGTGTAGACTTACCATCACCCACTTCATATCTTGCTCCCAATTTAAAAGAACTCCTAGCACTCATCCAAGTTTTCCATAGTCAAGAATCAGTATTCTTAGCTTTGACATCTAGCAAATTACTATTCCAAAAATACTTTCCCTTTAAAACCCTGCTCACAAACAAATTAGGAGATGTTTGAAGTCTCCATAATTGTTTAACCAGCAAGGATTCATTAAATACCCTTAAAACTCTGAAACCCAACCCTCCTTCTGCCTTATCATCTTTTAAATTATCCCACTCAGTCCAATGTATCCTATTTCCCCCCTGCTCACTTTTCCCCCACCAGAAATTAGCTATATCTCTACAAATTTGATTGATGATGGTGATTGAAATTCTAAAACATGACATAACATAAGTGGGTAAAGTACTCAACACTGATTTGATCAATATTTCTCTCCTAGATTCACTCAAAAATATATTTTTCCAACTCATGATCTTATTTTTTACACAATCACTAACAAACTGAAATGTTTCTTTTTTCTTTTTATCTTCCTATGCCTAAAGGTAATCCCAAATATCTAGATGATTTGACTCTGGTAATTCCAGAAAGCATTCTACAGATTTGAGACTGGTTTCTTTCAGAAGTATTTTTAGAAAACAAAATTGAGGATTTCTCAAAATTGACAATTTGACCAGACTCAAGACCATACTGATTCAGAATATCATTAATAAGAAGAGCATGTTTAACATCTGCTTTGCAAAACAAAATTGAGTCATCAGCAAAGAATAAATGACTCACAGGAGGGGCATGTTTACCTATTTTAATGCCCTGATACTGACCAGAATGACAGGCTTTATTAATGAGATGAGAAAGAGCTTCTGAAACAAGTATAAACAGATAAGGGGAGAGTGGATCCCCTTGTCTCAAACCCCTAGTGGGTTGCAAAAAACCCATATTAGAACCATTCAAATTAAAGGAATAAGATACAGTGCACACACAAGCTAGAATCCAAGATATGAAAGTTTCACTAAATCCCAATTTTCTGCATATTTTGACAAGAAAAGCCCATTCTACTCTATCATAGGCCTTGGCCATATCAAGCTTAATGACCACGAACTGCTGTTTTCCTTTCCTTTTACTATTCAAATAATGTACACATTCATTAGCTATAATTACATTATCTAAAATTTGCCTACCAAGTATAAATGCTGATTGAGCACTAGAAATACAATTAGACAGCACCATTTTCAACCTATTAGCTATGATTTTAGCAATCAGCTTATATATTACAGAGCATAAACTAATAGGTCTAAATTCAATAACTCTATTAAGATTTTTCTTCTTAGGGATTAGAGTTATAACAACATGATTAAGACATTTAGGCACATTGCCATTTTTAAAAAATTTATGCCTTAGGCTCGTTCAAATGCGGCTACTCTACCCGACTCGACTTAGATAATACTCCTACATAAATGGATACCAAATCGTGGATATTAAAACCGTTTCATTTGTCTAACAACAATTTCGTTTTATTATATATATATATTCAAAATTACAATTTTTATTCTCCATTCTTTAAACAGAAAATCCTCGGGCAATTCTCTCTCTCTCTCTAACAATGTCGAATTGCAGCAATTCGAAAAATCCTCTCGTCGCCGATGAAAAGGGCGAAAATTCAAATTGCTTTCAATCAATGTCACAATCACCGGAAAACAGCCACCGTCGAGAGGAGAAAGATGGAGCCACTGTGATTAAAGACGGAGGAGGGCACGCCGATAACCCAGTTTCTGAAGACGCCGACGGCCCCGAAACGCCGCCGTTTCACGGAATCCCGGCGGTCGGTGAGTGTCCGCCGCCGCCGGTGAAAGTCAGGCCGCGGCTAGGGAAACGGAAAATGCAATCGCCGCCGGCCTGCCGCCGGAGGCTCCAATTCGACGGGTTAGGTGGCGGCGTTGAACCGGTTGCGTCGCTGGTGGTCCGAGATTTCAAGGGCGGCCCGGAAACCAAGAAATCTCGGGCTGTTTTCGAGTATTTGTTTGTTTATAAAGAAATATAATGGGATTGATTTTTTTTTTTTTTTTTTTTTTTGTTATTAGTCTGATAAAATATGAAAGGAATGTAATGATTAATGATGTTAGTTATTTTAACAGTAGGAATATAAATTATGCAATTGAGTTTGATTTTTATTTTACATGAAAAATGTGTGACTGTGAAAAATAAGACTCACTGATTTATGTGAATGGTTAAATTAGAAATTTGTTTCTTTTTAAACATTAAAAGTAGGAATATAATTGAGTTCGATTTTTACATGAAAAATGTGTGACTATGCTAGAAATAAGACTGACTAGTGATTTATGTGAGAGGTTAAATTAGAAATATGTTTCTTTTCAAAGCATTCTTGTGTGAAGCAATTCAATCGCTACACGAACGTTATTTTTTAACAAAAATGCATACTAATACTATGAAACGTCATACTTTTGTTTACATCGTATTTTAGAACATAAAAATTTTAATTTGAAAGTATGTACATTTGTTAAAAAAAAAAAATTATGACTGTCTATCGTTAGAATTGTCTAATAGTAGCTTGTTATATATATTTACAAGAAATATAAAGCTAAAATCTAGCATGAACTTCTTTTTTTTTTTTTATATATGCCACAATGATCATTTATTATATAAGTTGAATGTATATTTATATGCATCTCAAAGACAAAGAAATTTAAAAGTAGACTTCTTATATTTAGGCCACTACATTTGGGTGTGTGGCACTCATTTAATTAGGAACTATTTGATTATTATTGTGTTTCATTCGGTGATTGTGCATGAAAAATGATGTCACCTCTTAATGTTGCATGACTTTAATTACCATCTAATTGGGAGAATTATGATTATCTTCCAATACTTCCCAAATCCCAACTTTGGGGTATATGATATAATATTTTCCAACTTTAAAAGTCATACTTAAAAAAACTAACGAAAACATTGAGAAGAGCAAAAAGAAAATCCATATAGATAAATTTTTTTTAAAGGAATATATTAGTACTATACATCATGGCACCAATTACCATGTTGTAAAGACTTGCACACGACTAGCGCACAACAGCTACGAAGAAAATAACAGCTTAACAAGGAATACATTATAACAATATCCATGAAAGGTCAAAAGAATATAACCAGGAATGCATAACCCAAATATAATAATACTTATGTACTCAATGGTCGCTCAATTACCTAAATAAAAAATTTCCAATCCAATTCACCCATGAT